CCTTGAAAGAGATGACAACAAGGATCTAATGAGGGAACTGCTGACAAAACTTGAGACCACGGGACTGCTAAGAATGGCAACCTACACATATTCTTGCTTCTACCCCGAGGTAGTGGCAGAGTTCTACACCAACTCCAGTACTCCACTCCTGAGACTCTCAAATCCGTTGTAATGGGATTTGAGGTAGAGATAACGGAAGAAGACATCAGGGAACTGCTCTCCCTACCTGGAGATGAGGCTCCAACTGTAAAGGACATCAATTTGAATGAAGAGAACTTCAAAGAAAAGGTTTTCATCCAAAGGGCTCAACACCTTAACACGTTGAAGGTCAAAAAGAAGCTGATGGTTCCAGAATACGCCATCCTCCTGGATATTCTCTACAAATATGTCGACACAAGGACTACAACCCTGGACGAAGTCAATGCCCAAAGAGGCAAGCCACTGACAGCAATCATCTCAGGGGTACCTTTCAACTGGTCAAGGTACGTCCACAACGAGCTTCTCAATTACGTAAAGAAAGCTCACACAGGAAGAGGACAAGATGGTACTCTACCACTACTAGGATACGGCTTCTTGATAGGGGAACTGCTCAAGAAGAAAGGAATAATGGGGTCCATTAAAGAAGAGACAACTTGGAGGAAGTTTCTCTATCAAACTTCCAAGGCAGGGGCCCCTCAAGTTCAACAAGCAGAGGACTCCTTCCACTCAAATGACCCTCTCTTGGTCTCCTTCAAAGTGGACATCAAGACTGCCAAAAGACTTCGATCTGGATGCCACATAATCCAATCAAAGAAGATGAAAACAAGCCTAACCCCTAATCTGCCAAGGAATATCAATGATGACCTCGAAGCAGTGGCCTCCCCTCTACAAGTCATCCAAGAAGAAGCAGAGGCCTCATCCAACTCCTCAAATGCAAGCAACTGCTCAGCTATTCCTCTCTCCATTCTCATTCCAAGAATAACAAATCAACCAGAGAGTAGGAGTTAACAAGTGGAGCAAATGGCTCCCCAAGAAGCTGAGCAGGGGACTCAACCAGAGCAGGTGGCTCCCCTTGAACAAGAGCAGATGCCTCCTCTAGAAACAGAGCAGGCCCCTCCTTTCAGCGAGCAGATGGCTCCTCTAGACGAGCAGGCTCCTCAATCACCAGCAGTGGCCTCATCTGTCCTGACTCCTCTAGAGCAATTAGATGCAGAATTTGCCAGAGTCAAGGCATGAAGATCATGGAAGCTCTCAAGAATCCTCCATCAAGTTGAAACCATAGCACACTTCATCGACGAAGAAGAGTTTGTGGTGGAGTGGCTTGGGACTGGTGACATGGCAGACGCAACAAGGTTACTAAGAATCAACCAGGTTTATACAATCAAAAGGAAGCAGCTCACTGCCAAGGATGCAATTGAAGATTCAAGTGATGATGATCTGGATAATGATGACGATAATCCTGATAATGCTCCTAAGGGACCACCTCGCTCCACAGGTAAACATATCATTCACTCTTCCTCCTCTAGTGATAAAGAAACCAGAAAGGTCATGGAGAAATCAAGAATGGAAACCCAAGGAGGAGGGGAATCCTCCAAAGCTCCCCAGAAGCTGCTAGTTGCCACTATCCAGCAGGGGACTGCTCTGATAGATCTCAACTTGGAACCCCACCAAATTACAACACCTGAGCAACCTGCCACATCAAATGAGATCAAAGATCAAATTCAGCATGATGGTGAAGAAGACACTCCTACACTGGCAGAGGTCTTCATCAACGAAAGAAGAGCAACCATAAAATTCATAAGTAATGCTGAGGTTCGCCTGCACAAGAGACTAATCAAAATGAAGAAGCATTTTGATGAGCTGCTAGAAATGAGGTTCGCTGAAGTACACTGCCATCTAAAGAGCAACTTGATGATACAGTAAGTATTCAACTCAGAGCAAAAAGCACAGCTCAACATCCAACTCTCAAACCAACCAGCTCAAATGGAGGCGATTCACAAAGAGCTTGAAGCCTTGAAAGCCAGGAATGAAGAGCTAGAAGATCAAATCGTAGAATCCCTCAAAGAACTAAGAAAACAAGAGCTAGCAGTTGCCTCCGGTCAAGCATGTGCCTCCCAGCCAACAACAGAGGTCTCTGCTCAGGTACCTGCTCTTCCTAATTTCCCCCCCACCTTGAGCAGGCCCTTCTAACAATACAGGCACATGAGGAGTTCATCCAACACCTCAAGACCAAGGAGCTTCCTGCCATTCTCCATCTCTCACAAAAGTTGGTCACAAAACAAGTTGAACACTCTGAGGCAATTGGTCAAACACGAACTGATGTTGCCAAACACCTCACTGACCTTCACCAAGCCACACAAGAGGCATTCCTAAAGCATGATGACCTTCAAGACCAAGGAGCTTCCTGCCATCCTATTAGGCCTTGCCTCAGCTGGACAACCCCAAACATGGAAATGATTTATACTGGGGTTCTTTCCAGTCCAAATTTGATAAGGGGTTTTAGTTGTAGCTTTAGTGGGAACTCTGTTAAGTATGTAAGCTGCAGTTTTCAGTGCCTCTCCCCAGAGGGAATCTGGTAAAGTAGTATGACAAATCATACTCCTAACCATGTCCTTCAATGTACGGTTTCGTCTCTCAGCAACACCATTCATGCTAGGAGTTCCTGGCATGGTGTATTGAGGAACAATTCCACACTCCTCTAGGAATTTAACAAAGGGCCCTGGACGTTGTTCACCGGAACCATCATATCTACCATAGTATTCACCACCACGGTCAGATTTAACGGTTTTTATTCTTTTACCTAATTGGTTTTCAGCTTCGGCCTTATAAGATTTGAACACGTCTATTGATTGGGACTTTTCATGAATGAGATAAAGGTAACCATAACGAGAGTAATCATCTATGAATGTGATAAAATATGTTTGGCCATTTCTACATGGTGTAGGGAATGGTCCACAAATGTCTGTATATATCAATTCCAATAGATCTGAAGCTCTCTCGGCACCTAATCTCCGTTTGTTCGTTTGTTTTCCCTTAACGCACTCAACACAAATATCAGAATTTGAGGAGTCAAGAGAATCAAGAATTCCATCTGACACAAGTCTCTGAATTCTTTCTTTAGAAATATGTCCTAAACGCTTGTGCCAAAGTGAAAACGAATTCTCATTGGTTAATTTTCTTTTAGTACCACGAGTACTTACATGCAAGGTTTCATTATATGAGGCATTTATATCAAGTGAATATAGATTATCATAAACTGATAAAAGACCAGTACCAATAAGTTTTGAATCTTGAAATAGACTGAACTGACTATTTCCAAATGAACAAGAATAACCAAATTTGTCCAATGAGGAAATAGAAATTAAATTCCGCCTAAATGACGGCACAACAAATGTCTCTTTCAAATCCAAATAAAAAACAGTCTTTAATAATAATCTAAAAACATTGATAGCCTCAACTTCAACCCGTTTGCCATCACCGACATAGATGTATCTTTCACCATCAATTGGTTCTCGGCAGCTCAGGCAACCCTGCATAGATACACTTATGTGAGTAGTAGCACCGGAATCTACCCACCAAGTGTCTTTTGGTACCGAAATTAAATTAACCTCAGAACAACCAAGAGCAAGAGACATACCCTTTTTCGCACGTCAAGCATGGTACTTAGTGCAGTTCTTTTTCTTGTGATTAGTCCCTTTGCAAAAGAAGCATCCAGATTCCTTAGTTTCTTCCTTAGTTTCCTTGTGATGCTTCCTGGGAGGCCCCGAATTTGCAGCTTCCTTAATTTTCCTTTTATTGCTGCCCTTAGAGGTAGATGCCAAATGAGCACTTTCTGTCTTATCTTGCTTTATTCTCTCTTCCTCTTGAACACAATGAGAAATGAGCTCATTGAGAGACCATTTCTCCTTAATGCAGTTGTAACTGACTTTAAATTGATTAAATTGAGAAGGAAGAGAGATCAAAACTAAATACACAAGCAATTCATCAGGTAAAATAAGCTTTAGTGCACTTAGTTTTGAAGCAATGTGAGACATTTCCAAAATGTACTCCCTTATGTTCCCTTTGCCTTTATACTTCATGGAAACAAGAGTGCTCAAAAGAGTACTAGTTTCCACCTTTTCGTTTTTAGCAAAACGCTTTTCAAGTTCGGCAAGGAACGATTTGGCATCAGCCTCATCAGACATTGTGCCCCTGAATGATTCTGGAATTGCACGTTTCATGATCATTAGACTCATGCGGTTTGAGCGTTCCCACCTCTCCATCTCCCTCTTTTCATCAAGGGTAGATGTGTCCTTAAGAGCGGCGGGTTTCTCAGTCCGAAGTGCAAGGTCTAGATCCATGCAACCAAGAACAATCATAACGTTCTCTTTCCATTCCTTAAAATTCGTGTCATTAAGCACTGGAATGCTATTAATATTAGCAGATATTGTAGCATCAGAATTGTTGACTGAAAGAGAACAAAAATAATATAAATAATATGCTCTAGGAACTGAAATTAATTTGATAATTAATTTTAAATTTAAATATTAGCAATCCCCATCACAAGATACCTAACGCAACATCTAATCTTGTCTTTGGACATAAATTAGACTTGCAAGTGGTACTCTTGGCGTATCAAATTATATTTTGATATTCTTTCAATACATACCAAAATATAACATAAATTATCTAAAAAGAAAAACTAACAATATATATATATATATATATATATATATATATATATATATATATATATATATATATATATATATATATATATATATATATAACACATTTTAGATATCTTAGGGACACATGAATACATACTCGGGGTATAAAATTGTTGGTCTAGAACTATTGATATAGAAAAAATAAAAAAAAAAATCAAATGCATTATTTACGAACGGTTCGGTCCGATATTTTTCGATTCTCAAAATCTAGGACCGATCATGTACCCGTTTCAAACGGTACGGTTTCAGTACGGGATACAAATCTATAGAACCGTTTAAATACCCGATATTCGGTTCGGTACCATTACGGGACGGGTCGGTATCGGTTCGGTTCGGATTTTATGCCCACCCCTAAAAATTGCTCAAAGTGAAGAAGGGAAGAACATCCTCTCCTCTTTCGACCTATCGTCGAGGTCGTCCTTGATTGATCAACATAGGGAATAGGGTGGGAAATGGGTTGCTCCTCTTCGGTTCCAGGTAATACCCAAATTGGAACCCTAATTGTCGTGCCTACTGTAACATTTCTTCTTCAGCTCAATTGATACTGTATTATCCTAAATTCCCTTCTAATGGATCCAGCTGACTTAGTTCTCTGAGATGGTTTGTTTCTCATTTATTGTAAAGTTGCTTTTAGTTTTAAAGGATTTATATTGCTCGATGTTGTCTTGCTTTACACAGATAGGAGTTTGGGACAGAAGGGAAGTCTTAATCCTGACAATGGTGCGACGAATGACCCTAAGAATCTTCGAGTGAAGGTTGATTTCGGAGTTTGATTTGTTCTTGCCTGAAAAAAATAGAAGATTTTCTTTTAGGTGAAAGAAATAAACGAAGAGATGATTAAAATGGTAAAACTGTAGGGTATGTTTGGATCACAGGAAGTTATAGGGAAAGTAAAACAAACGTGAAGGAAAGTTACTATCGTATGTTTGGTTTTACCTTGGGAAATGCCAATAAATATGAAAATGATTAGCTTTTGTTACATATGGTTAGATTTCGTGCTCTTTACTCTTTGTATGATAGACATAAAGAATGTCAAGATGTCAACAAATATCTAAAAGAATTTTATAAATTTAAGGCTTTGAACTTATCTGTTATTATCCCCCAAGTGTTATTCATTCTAGCTTTCTTCTGTACTTTCCTTCTGTTTTCTTTCGTTGGTATTTCCCGTGTTCCAAATTGGCCCATAGCCTTTAGGGAAAGTCAAGATGTTGAGGAACTGGTTTGTGAACACGTCGATAGTTTATACTTCCCATCCCAACACTCAGAACCATGCAACATTGTAGCATCAATTCCTATCCTAAAGGACTTTTGTTTTATTTTTGTTTGTAAGAAATGAAAAGTAAGGGATTGATGCAAGTATACAATATTACTGAAGTTTTTGTCTTTGAACAAATATGTTCTGCTGAGTGTCAAAACACAGTCTTTTGGAGCTCTTTTTATCCGATTGTGGTTTCTGTACAGTTTTCTCACTGCCAAAAGTAATCTTCAAATTGATCATTGCAGCTGGTACTATTGGGTGATTCTGGTGTCGGAAAGAGTTGCATTGTTCTACGTTTTGTTCGTGGTCAATTTGATCCAACATCAAAGGTAAAATTATTTGGTGATGGATGCCTCTCCAAACATTCCTTTTTCTTTCTCTTTTTGGGTATGGTATAGTGCTTTATTTAATTAATTAGCCCCTCTTTGGCTCTATTTTGGGGTTTGGAATGGCTTGTTTGGTTAGGTGGTTTTGGAGGGGAGAATCAATTTTTAGTTTACAAACTTATCTCTGTTTGTTATATTTAGAAATTAGAATTAGACTACGAAATAACTACTACCTCCGTCTCACTAACATTGGAACATGAGAAGGTGATGCGGTTATTAAGAAAAGTGAGTTGGTGTGGTTGATGTTTAATTGATCAAGAAAGAATAAAGTAAAGATGATTTAGAACCACGCAAACTTTGTCAAATTTGATATGAGAAATCTTAGTGGGACGGATAAAAACGGACAGATTTGACAATCTTAGCGGGACGGAGGGAGTATATGTTTTACTTAAATCAATTATTTGTATTTACTCCATATAATTTTCCGTCTTCAGTTTCTTCCCTCACATCTAAATGTAAAAGTAAATTATTACTCCCTCCGTTCCTAAATAAACTTCCAACTTTCCTTTTTCGTCTGTTTCAATTAAAACTTCCACTTTCCCTTTTTAGTAAATAATTTGTAGTTCACAACATTTCTTACACATTTTTCTCTTCTCTGCACAACTCTCCACCACACAATACCCAATATCTTAAACTGTGTGCCAAAACTATTTGGAAGTTTTAATAGGAACGGAGGTAGTAATAAATTAAGGGAAAATTCCCGAAATAAGATTAAAAGCAATGTAAAATTCCAAAACAGGAGTACCATATTTTCCCCTGTATAGGAGTAACGTACTACTATCCTGAAACTTTATTTCCATATTTTGGCATCACGAGGCTTTAATATCGCAGTACTAACGTCATAGTTGACATTATTTTCCGAGCATGGCAGTTATTTAGGGAATAAAAACATAGTGCTCCTATTTTGGAATTCCACATTGTTTTTGCTCCTATTTAGGGCAATTTCTTTAAAATAAATAATTAAATATTACCATAGGAAAACACCTCCCAGCCAAATAGGCTAGGTGATTTATGTTGTCTCCCATCTAAAATTTAAATGATAAGGAAACATAAGTAATATGTTTGTAAACAATCTTATTTTGATGGCTTTTAGGTTACTATTGGGGCTTCTTTCCTTTCTCAGACAATAGCCCTACAGGATTCAACAACAGTTAAGTTTGAGATTTGGGATACTGCTGGTCAAGAGAGGTAGCGTATGGTCTTTAATCTCTCTAAGGACCAGCTTTCCCTCTCTCAAGAGAAAGTAGTCTCTTTTAGTAATATTGGACATGGAGTACATGTAAGAGCATGCTTTGTTTTTAGGTATGCAGCATTAGCACCACTTTACTACAGGGGTGCTGCTGTTGCTGTTGTTGCGTATGATATTACCAATCATGACTCATTCATTAAAGCACAATATTGGATCAAGGTACAACTCTAAGATTATTGTGCCTACTAATTTTTCTATTTAGTCGTACATAAATAATGTCATGAAGGTTTCTCATATAGATATGGTGTACCATATTCAGTGGGTTTTGGCTTTCAGTTGGCTGTTGGCCAAAACCCAGTTTATCAGAAGTTCTTTTTTTAAATGTTAGTTTAGTAAAATGCATTAGCGATTAAATGGTAATGGAATTTGTGCTCGGATTCATTCTTGTGTTTGGAAAAACAAGTTTGGTAAGTCAAATTTGTTTAAAAGTAACCTGAACTCAGTATTAAGAATGAACGTGGCTGAAATTTGTCAAAAGTAAAAAGTACTACTTGTATTAGACAGCAGCAGCAACTCGTATTAGCTTTCTCCAAATTTTGAAGTGGAAAAAATTATGCAAACGGTTTTTAAAGTTCAAAAGCATTTTTAGAAGTCAAAAAGGTGAAGATACTAACATTGCTGAAGAAGACCAGAAGAATATAAAAATTCATGAAATGATATGAACTATTTGAACAGTGCTTCTCATTTTGAGGGAAAACTATATATGCAATAGTAAAAAGTAATCATAAGCTTTGATAAATGTAGGAATTAAAGAAGCACGGAAGCCCAGATATAATCATGGCTCTCGTGGGTAACAAAGCTGACCTCAAAGAAAAACAAGAAGTATCTGAACAAGTAAGAAAAATGGTCTATTATTGTATTCCTAAAGTTACTGATTAGTTACCAACACTTAATTTTTTGTCTGCATGAAGAGTGCAAAAGAGTACGCTGAAACGAATAACATGTTCTTCATTGAAACTTCTGCTAAAACAGCAGATAATATAAACCAGTTGTTTGAGGTATGTTCCTTCCCAACCCGCTTATAGAAGTGTTTCTTAATTCTTATTGATGGATGGGTAGATGGATGGAAAAAGTCTCTTGCATTCCTTTTAACAATGTGGACTGATGCCTGATTTCTGGGTAATTTTCTGTAACAGGAGATTGCAAAGAGGTTGCCACGCCCTTCTGTCTCTTGATTGTCAAGCACTTGAAAGGCAACAGTTTGCTATAGATAGATATGTCTGTAATATTATGTAAATAAGAGTCCCAGCATCTTCATACATGTGAGATTAATTTCTACTGTGCTGAGGTGTAGGCACCACTAATCTACTATAGTTTGGAATATTCTGATGGAGGCGTACTTGAAAATTGAAATGCCCATTTATGTATTTTCTAATTATCTCGTGTATTTTGGAGAGTATTTGAAATTTCTATTTTCTTTCAAAAAAATCATACTATGTTGATTTGTGAATTGTGATAAGAAAATCCAATTACGTCTTAATGATATAAATATGTTCGATTGGTAATTCCAATCTAGCATTCTAGACATAGTTCTAAATCCATGGAATTTCATATAAAAGATGTCATAACCAATAAAAAATCTCCCGTAATACAAAAGTTCCATTCTGCCATGAGTTGTGCTAGTTGTACACATTTTTGTGTACACCTTTCGTACACTCATCTGTCTCACTAAAAAAGTGTACATGAGATAGATGAGTGTAGGGGTGGACCGGTTCCGGTTCAGGCCCAGTTCGGGCCTGGGCCTGGTCGGGCCTCGGTTCATGAAAGGGGAGGCTTGGAACCGGCCCGGGTAACCCCGGGTCCGGGCCGGGTCTCGGTTCTTGTATTTTTTTTTTTGCTTTTCCTAATTAACCCCCAATCCTCCCCCCTCACCCCAACCCACCCCAAACCACATCAAATGGCCCATCATACCCAGCTCAACCCAAAAACTAAAAAAAAAATCAAAAAAAGAAAAAGAAAAAAAAATAAATTCGCCCGGACCGGGCCCGAACCGGTTGGGCTGGTTCACGATTTAGGAGGCCCGGGTCCGAACCGCCTACCTCACCGGGCCGGGTGGCCCGAACCGGGCACCAACCGGTTCACCGGGCAGGTCCGGGCCCGCACAGTAGCGGGCCGGTCCGGTTCTGGACCGGTTGGCCCGGCCCGAGTCCACTCCTAGATGAGTGTACACCAAAATATGTATACCAAGCATTTTTTTTTCTGCCATTCTTTACGCTTTTGGATGCAATATGTATTCACTATTCAGCGTAAATGTATTGCTAGGTAAATTATCCTGAAAGTATCATTCTCTGGCCTGATGTTTCTTTAAACTATTCTACAAAAGAGACACCATTGCTATGTATACACAATGCTATGTCATAGCATAGTGTCTTATACTACCTCCGTTCCGCTGGACTTTGCCAAGTGCTAAGTAGGTGAGAAATAAGATTAGTAAAAATTGTGTGGTTGATATTTGTGCAGATGAGAGAGAAATGTGCAGAACCATAAATTAGTTGTTTTAATAGGAAAGTGGCAAAGTTTTTTGGGACAACCAAAAAAGGAAAGTTGGCAAAGTCCAATGGGACGAAGGGAGTATGACGGATAGTATATCCGGGGGATACCGCTGAAAGGGTATCTAGAGAGAAATCAGAATAAGTAAGAGAGAAAGATAGAGTAGGTGTATATTAAATGAGCTCAAAGTGTCCGATCGGGATCCCTTACATTGAAGAATGGGCTTGCTATTTATAACAACCATAAATGCTAGGTGTAATTAATGCGGGTACACGTGTCAAGCAATCAACGGTGGAAGGTCGACTCAACCAGGGTGGCGCCGACATAGCATGTGGCACCGCATTTAATGCGGGGTTGGATGTGATATCGCGTTTAATGCGGCGATCCAGAACATGCATGGAAGAGATCTTGTCGGGGTAGTGCCGAAGGCCGTAAGTACCCTGGAGGCCTTCATGTGCCGAAGGCCGTACGTAGTCGGGGACCGTCATGTGCTGAAGGCCATACGTACCTTGGGGCCCTTCATGTGTCGAAGGCCGTACGTACCCCGGGGGCCTTCATGTGCCGAAGGCCGTACGTCCCCGGGGACGGTCATGTACCGAAGGCTGTACGTATCGGGCCTTCATGTGCTGAAGGCTGTAAATGCCGAAGGCTCATAATTTTAGCCTTGGTTCCCAATGATGTTTCTGGACCAGGTGTAACTGTTTCTCGAATATAGAGCCTTCGGGCATGGGGCCGAAGGCAACACCTTGTTGTAGTATGGGCTGTCCAGAGTCTTGTTTGCTGTGTTTGGGCCATTTGAGCCTGTTGGGCATGTTCGTAGTAGTGGAAGTATGTGGATCGGGGGTTCTTGGGCCATATACTCCATCAGGAGTCCCCCACTCCTTTTGCCTAGAACTTTTCGAGGGAAGTAGGAGTAATTGTCGTGATCCCGCTGGTGGCTTCCTTACTGTAGCTAGGGTTGTGCATTCACCGGGTCGGACAGGTATTTTAGACCGGAACTGGACCGGAATGAACTGGACCGGACCGGACCGGACCGGTATTAACCGGTCCGGGTTTCGGTCCTTAGTTTTTCAAGATTCCGGGTTCCGGTCCAGCCGGGTCAAACCCGGAAAAAACAGATCCGGACTGGAATGGAACGGTAAACTATTGTTCCGTAAAATATATACTTCGTTCTGTATCATTAGTCATTATGTTTATGGCATTTTTTGTCTTTTATTATATAAACGAATATATATGGAGTGTATATTTGGTATTTTGGTGTCTAATTATTTCCTAAGTTGTTTTTGTTTTGTTTATTTATGTGCAGGTGTGCACTACTATGATCGTAGTTTATATTTGTTTGATTTTTTTCAAATTGCTTTTTATTTGTTTCTTTATTTGCATGTGTGCATGTAGTTTATATGTAGTATACTTTTGGACGTAATTTAATTTTTATTACTCTACAATACATTTTGTCATTTTAATATGCACAAAAGATTGTAGTTTTAATTACTGTGGGAAACTAATTGTTACGATTGAATAGTTTTGATGACTATATTCCAATATTATTAAATGAGCTAAACAATTATTTAGCCTATTTAGCACATCCGCACATAAAATTATAGTTTGAAACAACAACATCCAAGCTTTATTTCTAAAAAAAATTTGGGTCGGTTAAGACCACTCTAAGATAATATGTCTTTTTCTAAAACCGGGTCAATTAGGGTCAAAACCGGACTGGACTGAAAAATTCAGGTCCGGTCTTCGGTCCATAGAAAATGATGATTCCGATTCCGGTCCGGTCCGGTTTTGGACCGGTGCACACCCCTAACTGTAGCTGAGGAATAATAAAATTTTTCAAGTTTGCGTGTTTTGCTGAGGGGAGTCCCCCAGTCCCCCACAGTCTGCGGCCGAGGTGTTTTTGAGAGGAATCATGGTTGTTCCTCCAATTTTGGTGAAGGTTGGTATGCTTCTGTTGATGTCCTCAAAAACGTTTGATATGCGTGGTTTCCCCAAGGGGTTCCCCCAGTCCCCCACTCCTTAAGGCACGTGTAATGAGGTGAAAATGAGTAGAGTAATGCATGTCTTTAACAGGGGGGCGAGGGTTGACGCCTTTTGATCCATAATGGGGAGGTGCCTCGTTAAAAACCTCATTAGGAAAAACCCTGTGGGAAAAAATCCTAATGAGGAAAAAAGAGTACACCGGATGCTCCCAAAATGAAGCAAAAGGGGTGAACCCTTCGAGGCTATGGATGCCTGTCTGAACATGAGGACGGGGTGGTGGACGCCGGTCTGAATATGAGGCCGACGGTGCTGATGAGCCGGTTCGAATATGAGGACGAGACGATGGACGCCTATCTGAACATGAGGACGATGCGGTGGACACCTGTCTGTATTTAAGGCTGACGGTGGTGATGAGCCGTGCAACATATGAAGGCGACAGTCGCTATCCTGGAAGGGAATGGCGAGCCCAATCGTTAGCTCAAGACACTCGGCGCTAGGGTAGTCGGTCTTGAGATATAGAATCACGCCGAGGCCATGGGGCCGTCCGTGATCTGAGGATGTTGGCGCTGATGGGCCGACCGTCGTATAAAGGCGACGGTCCCCATCCTGGAAGGGATGGAGAGCCCGATCTCTAGCTCAAGACGTTCGGTGCTGGGGAAGCCGGTCTTGATGTATAGAATCACGCAGAGGCTGAGAGGCCGTCCGTGATTTGAGGACGTCGGCGCTGAAGAGTTGATTGTCCTATAAAGGCGATGGTCCCCATCCTGGAAGGAATGGAGAATCCGATCGTTAGCTCAAGACGTTCGGCGCTGGGGAAGCCGGTCTTGAGTTACAGAATCACGCCGAGGCCGAGAGGCCGTTCGTGATCTGAGGACGACGACAGTGATGGGCCGATCGTTATGTAAAGGACTAAGCTGTGACGCCGGTCTGAAGGTGAGGGACGGCGGAGCCGGTCCGATGATACACCAGGCTTGGACACTCGTCTGAAGTGGAGGGACGGCGTAGCCGGCTTGATGATGGACCAGGCTCGGATGCTCGTCTGAAGTGGAGGGACGGCAGAGCCAGTTCGATGATGAGGGACCAGGCTTGGATGCTCATCTTTTGATGAGGGACGATGGATCCGGTCGATGATGGACCAGGCTCGGACGCTCGTCTGAAGTGGAGGGACGGCGGAGCCGGTCCGATGATGAGGAACCACGCTTGGACGCTCGACTTTTGATGAGGGACGGTGGAGCCGGTCCGATGATGGACCAAGTTTGGACGCTCGTCTTTTGATGATGATGACGCTGATGAAGCTGGTCCTTTGATGATGGACAAGGCGTTGGCGTTCGTCTGAAGATGAAGGATGACGCTGGTGACACTCGTCCCTTGATGATGATGGCGCTAATGAAGCCGTTTGTCATATGAAGGCGACGGTCGTCATCCAGGAAGGGAATGGCGAGCCTGATCGCTAATTCAAGATGCTCGACGTTGAGGAGGCCGGTCTTGAGATATAAAATCACGCCGAGGCCAAGAGCCCGGTCGTGATATGAGGATGTCGGCGCTGATGAAACCAGTCCTTTGATGTAGGACAAGGTGTTGGACGCCTGTCCAGAGTTTAGGACGATGGCGCTGATGAAGCTCGTCCTTTGATGAAGGACAAGGCGTAGGACGCCCGTCCTTTGATGACAACGGCGCTGATGGGGACGTTCGTCATATGAAGGCGACACCATCCGAGAAGGGATGGAGAGCCCGGTCGCTAGATAAAGACTTCGGCGCTGAGTGCCGGTCTTAACATGAGGATGAGGCGATGTGTAATACTTGAGATTTAATTTAAATGGATCAATAGTACTACTCGTACCAACAAGATGCATCTACTTTTAAGGGAGCTTATCAGCTAAGAACTCCAAAGTTAAGCGTGCTTGCATGGGAGTAGTCTTGGGATGGGTGACCCCCTGGGAAGTTTCTCAGAGCGCGCACGAGTGAGGACAAAGTGTGCGGAAAATGCTAGTGGC